ACTCTGAAGATGCCGGTCACAGGTGCTCGTGAAACATTAGGAAACAAAACTTCAAGAACACGGCCACACAGCCCGGAAGACCCACACCAGCCATTATTTGGATACAGTTTATTTGCTCATGGTACTACCACAATTTTAACATTTTTTGACAGGAAACACATAAATGCTAAGACATCACAAGTTTATTTGCACATCATCCAGAAACAGCTTTCACTAGAATGACCAGATTGATAGTAAATACAATTAAACTTAGCTCTATTTAGGTATTCAAAGAAAGGAATACTTCTGATAAACACTGCACCCATCAAAAGTTCTTCAGATTGATGGCATGTCCACAGGACATTCGTACAAATAGGTGAATGACTATAGGAGAAAAGCCTTTGTATGTGCAATTAATTATATGAATACTGAATTCTGGACTCGCAAGAAACATAGTACAAGGCTCTTGCCTACATGAGAACAAAGTGCTCATAATTCTATATGCAAAGACTTTCCTCTACCCTGAATGTGCTAAGAGGAGTAACTTTGGGGTGAGGACAGAGCTTGCTTTGAGGGCTCACATGTATAGGGTTTTTCCCTCTCTCTTTCTGAATAGGGCTGGAGGCCTCTCTTAGCTTAACAATTATATACGTCAATTTGGAATTCTTGCTCTATGAAATTAAAGCAACTTTCAGGCAGTATACTCTTATTGATACAATAAGGGAGGGAGAGGTCAACAGCTATGTGGGATGATATCCCTCTTAGAATATTTTGATTTTAACATTGATTCATTTACATGTGTTTCTCAGAAAGACGTGTTGCTGCTGCTTGTTAGATGAATATGTGATTCAAAAATTAAATACATATTAGATGTTTCCCCTTGAAGTTCTTGTTATCCTCTGAGGATATTGAGGCACCAACCTGGATAAACCAAAGGAATGTGAGTTTTTCTTTACATGGCATACACTTGGGCTTAGCTGTGCCCAGATACCACAGCATTTTTACATATTTTTCCAATGCCATCTGCCCTAGTCACTCTAAAAACTTTTTTTAAATCTGTTTGGAAAATATTTTTAATTACTTTGAGCAACTGATAAATTGATACTTTAGCCTTTAGTCACTCTTTTCCTCTTGCCTAAAATTCCTCTGGGACTGCATAGGTCCAGAGTACCTTTGAGAGGCTAGACAACAATGTAGCAACAGATGCAAAACCTTTACTGGAATAGAAGATTCTGAGTTCAAAGGAGTGTGGGTCTCCTAATCCTACCAGTTTATATGCAGTGAGTGTTTTCTAATTGTCTACATCCCATTCAAAATTAAGCTGCACTAGACATCAATTAACCAAGACAACTTAGGCAACACTATCCTTTCTGCTCCTGTTTCATAAATAATCCCAGTGATCTATGATTTCCTTCCATAACTTCCTGTTATTTGTATTACTTCTTCAAATCCATAATGTAAATATGCAAAGAAGTTTTATTAGATGAACAGCACATCTATCTTGGTTTGTACCAATGCTCCTTAATATAGACTGAGAAATCTGTTCTTGGGGGAAGGAAGGAATGTATAGAATGTTGAATTAGTATCTATCACATCTATCAATTTAATCCAGGGCTCTGTTTCTAGATATAAATGTTGAGTGTCGAATTAGCAATAAAATTATAGCTGGATAGTAATACAACATTTGTGAAAATGAGTGCAATCCAATCTCTTGTAATTCTTTCAAAATTCTGATCAATATCACAATGCAGTTTTTCCCTTTTGCTCTTCCTTTTCTCAAAGATAGCATAGCACAACTTTACAGTAAAAACTCATGGTGTGGCTGGAATGATCCTGGATTCTTCAGTCAGGGATAGTCTTAAATAAACAGTGAACTTGCTTTGATACTAACTTGAGGTTCTTCTTTCTTTTCCAGAAGAAATTGAAGTGGATGTGGAAAGCACAGAGTTCTCCCATGGAGACGTGGATGATATCAGCACAACCAGTACAAGTGACATTGATGATCACAGCAGCTTGCAGAGCATTGGGAGTGATGAGGGTTACTCCAGCGCTAGTGTCAAGCTCTCCTTCACTTCCTAGAGCCTGGTGCTAGAGCAGAGCAACTGGTTTCTTTGGGGCAATTTCATATGGCAGAGCTCTTAAGATACAGTATTTTTCTTACCCAACCCACCCTTCAACAGCTAAGCTTGGACAGACACAACTTTAGAATAGCTCCATGGGTCCACAGAAGAGTGGGAACCTAGTAGGGGAGCCAACTAGCCTTTATTTAATCATAGTCCAAAATTTTTGACTTAGTGCTAAACCTTAGTTAATTTGAAATCCAGGATACCACTTCAGTTGCACATAGCTGGGCTGAGATTTTCCCATCAGCAATGGATAACTATACTGAGAGATTATTTGATTGGATGGGAAATTTGGCTGTTCAGGCTCTTGTTTTTTAATTGTCACAGTTGTTTTTTTTCACCCCTCATGTCCAAACTTAACTAACTTGTTATAAGACCCTTTGTGGTGCTAATAATAAATAATATAGAGTATGTCCAATATCTATGATAATCTAGCATATCTGGGATAGCTATATGTTGGTCCCAAATGATGGGATAAAGTAGCCAAGGTGATATAGTTCATTGGATGAACCACTTCCAATGCATTTGCACAATATTTGAAGTTTTTTTTAAAAAAGCTCCATTTTAGATTCCTTTGAATTCCATCAATGAATTTAATTTTTCATTTTTTTTTAATAGAACTAAAAAGTTAAATAGTTTTCCTGTAGCCTCACCAGCAGAAGTTAGTCCAGTCAGCATCTTCTATTAACTGGGTATCTCCAGCCATCTTTGATCATTATCATCTGACAAATGTAATAATAGTAAGATGCTCTGCTTAGGTGCTGCAAATCTGGAAGCATTTCCCATTCAGCTCAACTTTTCGCTGGACATGGTTTCAAGGCAAGAAACTTGGGCTGTATGATTTTACCACTAGATTATTGAGCTGTAGCAGGCCACCACAGGTGCAACTGCGCTCTGGATTCAGTGGCTGAGCTAGAATGATTCTCCTGATACAGAGGGTGAAAGACAGACCAGCCTGTAAAACAAGTGATGATGTGCAGAAAAGACAGTCTCCACTCTGAGCCACAATTACCTATTTTTTCTTTTGCAAATTATTTTGATAAACATTTGTAAAAGTTGTTTGGGTGAGATAACCTGTGACAATGTATTTTTAGATCTCCTAGGCGTGATCCTGCAAATCTCTTTTGTAATTAACACCAGTTGAAAGGGGCTTGTTTTTCTGCTGCCATGCACAAGAGGAACAGGGACTCTTCTTGGTTTTATGGCTCTTCCTTTTGGATTCCTGTTTGGATTCCCTTTGCAGACTTTGGCACCTGGATTCCTAATGTAGTCTTGGGTCCATAGCTAAGAAGCATCTCACTTAACAGTCTGCTAGGTTGATTCCAATTTCTCCTGAGCAGAAACTGTTGTCTTGCTGTTAAAAGGATAAGATTGTATACAATGTTTTTATCATTGTTTTTATTTTGAGCTTTCTAACCTGCACTTTGAGGTCTTCGCTTTTCTTTAAGCTTTTTAACCACAGAGATACTTATTACTGTTCCTTTACCAAGTTTAAACTTTACTCTTTATTTTCAGACTTCATTTATGACACTTATTTGAGGATTTTTTGGGGGTGGTGGTGGTAATTTGCCTGTCCCCCAATTACTAAGGGAAACATGAAAAGTAAAAAAAAAAAAAATGCTTTATAAAACTCATAACTTATTGCTGATTATAATTACTGGGTTGTTAATTTCAGTCCTGTAGATCTTTAATTTCATTGTTTAGATAGGACTGGGTGACAAAAATAAAAACAAGATAACCTCATTTAGCAGTACAGTGGAATTGTGTTTAAATGTTAGCATATGTTTCTGCTTAATAGTAGCACTTTAATACCATTAAACATTTCTGTATCTGAAACACATTTGTTCTGCCATGTTGGTCACTCATGAGACTTTAGAATACTCATGTTGTTTGTGCCTGGAACTTAAAAAAAAAAAAACTCCATTGGCCATGTGATTAGATACCCCCAAATAACTTCTCCTGTAGATCTTGTCTCAGTACTGTTATGTTGTGTGATTTAACCCCAATGTGTTAGGCATTCACCCCAGAGCTATTATTATATCGTACAATATAACATACCACTTTAGGACCTGTGTCATGTACTAGAGACATCATGCTGCCAGGTTTTATAGTGTATTCATAGCTGGGGTTTCAGTTCTTCTGTTTATTAAAATCTGGTTGCAGTTACACATCTCTCTCTCCTATGGAACTAAAACTCTGTAACACTGGTTTACTCCATATGGTAATCTCTCCCTCTAGTGGCTGAAATAGTAATTGTTAGTTTTAGTTAATGGGAATAAAGGTTTCAGTAAGAACTGTTTTTATAATTCTGAGGCCTATTAATATGGCTAATTAACCTGCATTGTGTCTTAGTGCAATTTGGTGGGATTGCCAGAACGGTCACTGAGAACTCAAATGAGCAAGATTACAGTGGCACTGTCAGTTCTGATCTGTGATTTCTTATTCCACCAAAATAAGTTTGTTTCTGTGAATTCAGTTGCAGAAACTTACTTTTGCTTACGTATTTTCTGTAAGCAAAAGGGCCTGAGTTCAAATTTTAGCACAGTCTTCACCAGCCCACTGGCTCTTAGTGTGCTTGAACTAGAAAGGCAGGGGCTGGCTGAAAGGTCTGATCTTCAGTCTCAATACAGGGGACAGGCAGGCACCTGATTGGAGAAGGCTAATGTAGTGGCTTGCACGACAAAGTAATTTCAGGGAGAAAGGGTGAAGAAACAACAGCCTTAAGCTAAAGTCTGGAAAGTTTGCCTCAAAGAATGGACAGCTTTAGTTAATATCATCTTAAATTAGGATCATATAATTCTGTACCAAATTCATTCCAAATACAGTATCAACTCTGGAGTCCTCATGCAAAATCATTTAATCATTCACCTCATGCCATATCCTTCTTTGATATGAGCATTTATCTTGGTAAATAAGAAACTATAATCAGGATAAATCTCTGTGGAGATAATACCCTGTTTTACAAGGTGGAAGAAAAGTGTTACATCTTTTATTGAGTAGGGTGTACTGCAGCCAACCTGTCATAACGTACTAGCCAGGACGTACTATATAATTTTCATAAATGTAAAACCATGTCCTTTGTTATTCTTTTACATTTGGGATGTTGTACTTATTTTTAATTCACAACCTTGTATTTTATTTTATTTTTCCCACCATTAAAAAAAAATGGATTCTGGTTTGGAATATAATCCTATGCAAGTTTACTTAGAAGTAAATCCCATTATGTTCCATGGGACTTACTCCCATTTGTATCTGCATCAAATTAAGCCTTAGATTTAGGTGTGAGGTTGTATACACTTTTGCATTTAAAATGCAGGGTAATTTTTTATATAATGGGATTGGTTGTATCAGCATCCAAGCAGGGCAGTCTGAGGCAAAACTATTTTTCTGCTTTGGAAAATCTCTTCTGAAGGTGGCATTAGCTTTGGAGAAAAAAATAAATGCTGCCAGCTCAAAATCATCTATGCATCTTGATGTTAGCCACCTCAAAAAGGCTAAATAAGAAATGCTATTCTCTTACATGTTAATTATGCTTTTATAATAAGCAGTTCAGACAACCATTCTAGTATGATCTGAAAAAGTCACATTCACTGATATATCATTCCAGATCTGTGTCCTTATCTGCTATTTGGCAATACTGATGTGTGTATAATGCTTAGAATGATTCTGTATTTTAATGAACAAAAACAGATGCAAGAGGGCATTTTTACCTATTATATACAAAAGGGAAACCAGGATTCCTATAAAATTATGAAATTCACTTATGGCAAGTAAAATTGTTATCCATATGGCTTCAGGCTGAGGTGTTTTGTATTTCCTAGCTCTACTAAGTGAAAATATCTGAGACTGAAACAGAATTTATATACTTTTTTTTTAATTTCAAAAAATGTATTGGATGCTTTTTATGGACCATTTGGGGGGAGAGTGTCCACATCATTTGTGTCAATTTATGTAAATGGTGTAATTTGCAGTAAAACTTCAATTTAATAGATAAATGATAGAGTCCAAATTAAAAGATTTGTCTGTTATGTCAGAAGTCAGTCAAAGGGAGGGTTTACTGTGTAATGCAAAGCTGTTGGGTACTTTTTCCTCCATGGTGTCTTGGATCAAACTAGTGGACTAAATTTAGCATAACCTTGATTTTTTTATTTTTACTTTTTTTTTTTGAAGTTTTGAATTCTAGGATATTGTAACTTGTTTTGCTAACAAGTTTACGTTATTTAAAAGTCCTAATTTTCAGAAGCTTGAAACCTGTCTTGGTTACTTTATCTTTTTCTCTTCAGTCTCCTTGTACAGAATTGCTAGGGAATTCAGTTATATCCAATTGGGCATATACCAAAAAAGTGGAAATAGGGATGAATACTTATCTAAAGTAAAAGAAGCAAAAGACAAGTAAGCAAGTAAAAGACAGCTTCAGAAAGCAGAAACATTTGGTGTATGTTAATCAAGTCAAGACTTTTTAGGAGTGTATTAAACAGGCTTAAATGGAAGCAATAGTTAAGTCACTTTTCAGTCATATCCATTCTATATTTTCTATCTCATTCTGTACATCAGTCTGTAAAGATAATATCCACTGGTATTCAAATTATGAAAAAAATAATTTGGAAGAGTTTATTTCCTTGTATACACTAGCTGATATTTCCTTACAAGAAAAGGAACACTTCAAAAAGATTTGTCAGCATTACTGGACTTTTTTTTTTTTTTGCAACTGTTTTACTAAGAAGAATCCTGATGGTATTATTTAGCTGATCAAACCAGAAAAATTGTAAAGGGCGCTTAGCATGTGCTAAGGGATTCTAAAGATCCCTTTAAAGTTGTGTACATCTTGTCAAAAATAGCAAAGACACAAATACAGTATACCGAAGTAGCTGTAGATAGTATCAGTTGGAAGTACCTCACTTCATTATGTAAACGCTTCCTTCTGCTTCAGATATTGCTAGTATCTTTGGTATTCTCCCCTGTCCTGCAATTACATGTAGTACAATACAATGTTTTTTTAAAAAAAATGTTCTATGAACTTAACACTGCAAACAGTAGATCTTGTCTGTGAAAGAAACAGGAATTTGTATCTCAGGGCCAGTTCACATTAGCACTGGACAAAGTAACTAAAAAAATTACAAACATGGTACACTGGTATTATATCAATTCTTTAAGATATAATAAGCCAATGGTTTTGCCTTTAGAAGCAATCAAAAATAATAATTACTGTGCTGTCCTATGCCAAAGGTCGAATTTAATAATAACTGAAGAAATAGTCTAAGCAGGATTTTCTAGTGGTTATCACTATGAGTCTGCGGCATGCACTGATCAGCTGTCTCACTTTGTACTGTCTATCTAACTGAAGAAATAGTCTAAGCAGGATTTTCTAGTGGTTATCACTATGAGTCTGCGGCATGCACTGATCAGCTGTCTCACTTTGTACTGTCTATCTCTTTAGGATCTCTATAAATGTTGAAACAATAAAGCAAAGATCAACATAGTAAGACCCTATGATTGCAAGAACTTGAACATCATTAGCTCTAATCACTATATTCAAACTTTATTTCTAGCAGCAAAAGAAACTTGGAAGACCAAAAATAATGATCTCTATAAAATATAGTCATGAAGAATTAAATTATTAAACCCCCATGAAGGAATTTCATATTAGGCTACTTCCTAATACAGTACTTAAATACATATAGCAAACAAGTCAGGAAGATGAAAGCCAATTTATTGTATCCAACACTACCAATTTCAGCTAATTCATTAAGGGAGAATATACAAAGCTGCAACTGGCCATAATGAGGGGATATATGCAGGCAATTTTTTTCCCCTCCATAATGGCTTGCTGGCTGTTTTAAATTGCTATCAAGCTCCATTTGGAGTACGTTTCAAGTGAATGCAAGCTAGCATCTTGTATGTATAAAATGTTACCTATTACAATAAATATGTAATTCAAATAAATAGCAAGGTAGTTATTTTTACAGACCAAACTACTCTAATGACATTGCTGACAGTGCTTTTATTGAAATTAGCTGGTGCACACATTCTACACTTATTGAGTGACATGCTACGTGCGTTAACTTGTGTTTTAAAATCTCAATTGCTAGAAATTATTTTCCATGTATTTTTTTTCTCAACCACCACAACATGTAGATCTTGGATTTGTAAAGATTATTCTCACTAAACTGAAGTATATAAACCCTCTTTGCAATGTTCAAGTCTATCCATAGCAAAAGATCTAATTCTAGCATGACATCTTAGTTTGGAAATCCCAACATATTTTCTTTGTCCCTAGCAAAAAAAAGCTTTTGGTGTTTTGCTACTTAAAAGAAACAAGCTGATGAAACTGCAGTGTAACCTTTCTAGCATTTAAGTTTGCAGCTATTATATTATGATGTAAAATAAATACAATGCAGGACCTTAAATGATGACACTCATTTTATCTTCTATCACATTAGCCAGTATCTAATGCAAAAATTAGGGTTGTGCCACTATAGTTTTACACAAATATTTACGGGGAGAAGAAAAAAACATCGTTTCTTGGTTTTTACTAAATTATGGAATTCTTTTGCCATTTTTAAAGGGGGAAATCATGTACATAGTGCTGTGATTTTACATAGTACTATGATACTGCACTAATCTAAGAATACAATTCCAACCCTAAACAAACATATCCCCAACAAATATATTTTGACCACATATAAACTTCAGCGCAAGCTCACTTTTAAGGTGTCTTCTATCTCTCTTTGATTTCCTTTGAACTTGCCTGAACTATGGCAGAGTTATATATTGGCTCGGTAGCCAACTGCTACTTTTGATAATTTGGAAGCTACAAAACATCCCAACAAATCTCTGATATGCAGATTGACCAGTGCTAGTCTGTAAAACAATACTGAAATACTGATTGGAGCTCTATCTGTAATGGTACAGGGATGGTGCTGACAACATTGTTGCATTTTCATCACTGTAAACATAATTCTTTTGTTTGTGGCCATCTATATTAACTTGTTTAAATATATAAATAAATTTTATGACATTTTATTTCAAGTAAGTTTGTTATTTTTCTTATTTCTAGTATCACCAATGTTAATGGAAGTTCCCAAAATACAATCAACACCTTAACCCCAGTGATTGCGTGCTTTGAGAATTACAACCCTGCATTTCACATGGGTGCAGTAGCATCTGTGCTGGACACTCTTGGCCATATTGGGATGCATATCCAACACCTATAAGACAGATTAATTGCAAGATTTTTTCCCCAGCATTCTCAGAGGAGCAAATTTCATGATTAATCACAAGCTGCTTTTGAAAAGGTTTCCAATATATAACAAAAGCTTGTTGTAAAGAAGCAATAGCTCAAGACCTATCCTGGATACAAGAACTAACTGCAGATTTATTTGAATCCTAAGCACCTTTACCAACAATCCTAGCTTTATGAGTTTCAAAAAATGCTTTTCTAAATAAAGAAGCTACTTATTTATTCATAAAATACTATACCATCAAGTTTGCCACTAGGTGGTTCATTTACTACCCAAAAGTTCAAAATATAGTCAAATTATGTCCAGGACATATCATACCTTTATAAGAAATTTTTTCTGTTAGCTTAATGGTAAAACCAGCACATTTCTACCTGGGTAATCCTCCCCCCCCCTTTTTTTTTAGTAATACTGTTACTAAAAGTCTATCAAATAATTTTTAACAAGTTTTGGGGACATAGCCAAGAGATTTTAAACACTTTATTTTAATAAAAGTTACATACAAAACTCAGATCAACACATTAAAAATTACTTCCTCTTTTTGTTGACAGGAAGAATCTCTATAAGTGGATTATAATTACTAGATACGGATTTAAATGCAGATAAACTGGCAGACTTTCACTAATGAGTGCATCAACAAGTGTTGATGGTACCTGATTTGAATTCAGAAAACAAATTACAAAAGGGAACTACAATGTAACAGACATAAGGAATGGAGTTCAGATTAATGAGCAAGAATTACTTCTGAATTATTTAGTAGGAGTAATAACTAAATTCACTCTTGTTCATTAACACCATATTTTACAAAAATATTTATCTACACTGTATACAGGGCTATACATTAACTTTTTCTCTCAAACACATTTGAAAGATTAAAAGATGCCATTACTACCCTAAGCATTCCACATGGCAAAGGGAAGCAATTTCATCCAGAAGATACAAGAATGCCAGAACATTTACACATGGTTTTCCAAATAAAATCAAGAAGGTTCAGCAAAACTAATGCAGTTGAATTGTGGCATTATTGGGAGAGGAACACCTACTGTACTTAAACATAGCTGTAAAATTGATTAAGCACTAAATGACACTTTGTGTTGTAGTATGTTAAATAACTGCATCAAATAACCCATCAAGTCTTCAGTGGAAATAACTACTTCCAAATGTATAGTTCATCTCTCCCAGTTTTAAAGTGCTATTCCATCCTTGAAAATTACTGAAAAAACCTATGCAGCTCATATCTAAATCCTTATCAACTTTAACCTCTATAAATACACTTTCCAGTTTGCCAGTGTTAAGCACTTTTCTGATGAGATTCCCTGCCTTTTTCCAGAGTTACAAAAATTTTGTATTTAGAAATGCAATACAAATCAGCCAGTTCCTAATATTTTTTCACTCCACAGAGAGAAAAGAAAAATCACCCTCACGCACAATGAGTTTTTAACCACAATAACTGGTTTTTGCAGGTTCCTAAGCCACTCCATACTCAATATTGAGGTCTCATATGTGGTCAGGGTAGAGGAATCTCCAAGTTCCTGCAAGTTTTGGAATGGCTTGGGAAGCTTTGATAAATTTTGCTGCTCTCTAAGCCTCTCTAACATGTCTGAATTCATCTCTCTTTAGCTAAAACACTGGACATAGAATCACACGGCATTACTGAAAGAATGTGTGATTTGGGACCAATATCTCATCCTGAGGAAACATAAGAGTCATTGGTGAGCATGAATTCTGGCTGGCTATCATTATCAAGATTGTAGGTCTATGGTTCTGCTCTTTAAGATGAAAAACACTTCGTACCAGCACATTCCAGTCTATATTCAATCAGAATAAAATCCCAATAAATATCTCAATTGAATTATTTCTTAACAGATAAAGAACACTTAATACCGTTCCTGTAGGAAGGTAACAGGACTGTTAGATATCAAAAAGAGCAAAAAACATGGGATGATTATTTTATTACATCCTCATTTGCTTGGTAGTATTCTCAATATGCGTCTGAGTAAAGACACTATCAGATCAGAGGCTTCAAAATATTGCAAAGGGCATTTCTTCAACAGTCTAACTTGTGTATATTTATACAAAGTTTTAGAACAATAAAGGGGTCATCTGAATATCTGTAATAATTAAGGCTTGTACTAGCAAAAGCCAAGTGATGGCAACAACCATTTTCATCACACACCAATTGTTTACTGTTAGAAAAATATAACAATAAAAAGGTAAATGTAAAGCCCTGCAAATATGACAATTCCCCCCTTAATTACTGGGGCATCAAATGTCTGACATTATACTTTGATGTATCTTGGTACTGTGTCATAGGTTTGTCTGCAATTCCACATGTCCCAACTCCAACCTTCCCTGTAACACTCTCAGGAGAAGCAAAGATGCTCCGCTTCACCTGTGGGACAAATTAAAAACACAATTTTAACTATTTTCAAAATGCAACAAATCATAAGTTACTGATAATATCAATAATGCAGAGTTTATCTATGATTAAACATTCCGGAATCATATAAATTTCAAAAACTTATTTCAAAACAGAGACATTGATTAAATCATACTTCACTACAGCTTGGGCCACAGAAAACTCCTTAACAATCTGAGATATACAAAACATCATTATGATTTATAATGGCAGTATAAAAGCTTTGTTATACAAACTAGATTGTACAAAACATTTTAAATTCAAAATGCTATATTTGAGTACAAAACAGGTTGCTTTGATTATTTTGTACTCAAAATAATGGGGTTCAAATTCAAACCATAGAGCTATTCTGAGCTCTAAATAACTCCAGGGTGCAATGCTCCTATTTTAGCTTCAGAACTACTGGAATTCAAAATGTTTTACCTACCTCTAGGCCCTGAAGCTTTACAGCCCTGAATGTTTAGCTTTTCTACTAGTATATCTTGTAGAATTGCAAATTACCCCAAACTGATAAAAGTGTGAAAAATACTATTAAGAGATCTTTCACAGTGCTTCTGGAAAGATTTTCAGGAAATGGCTTGCCATTCCTTTCTTCTAAGGCTGAGAGAGAGTGACTGGCCCAAAGTCACCTAGTTAGCTTTGTGCCTAAGGCAGGGCTAGAACTCACGGTCTCCTGATTCCTAGCCTGGTGCCTTAACCACTACACCAAACTGGCTTTCACAACAACTTTATGCTTCCAATATCCTAAGATATAGCATACACGCACCTGGCCTTTTTTGTTTTTTGAATATGCTCTATTGTTGAACTGCTGCCATTTGACTTTCTGATCTTCTCGTTCCTGCTCTAGTTCTTTGATACGCTGGGCCTTTTTCAAAGCTTTCTTCTTTTTATATTCTCGTTGCTGAGCAATCATTTCTTTCCTAAAAAAAAATGGCACTGAAGATTACTTATGTACCTCATAACCTAGCACCACCTTTGTTATAAATTCACTTTTATTCTCAGAACATGTAGACAAAAGCAAGGATACGCTGATTAAGAGAGTCTCACCTTGACTAGGTGAATGTAAAGATAAACTCTCAGTACAATGGGGCTTCAGCTGTCCACGCCCATTTCATTCTCCCGCTGCAGAGAGTGCTGTCATTCCTTCTGTAAAGCAATCTGTGCATTGCAAGTTTCAATAAAGCACAGCAATCCTACTTTCATACACTACTAACAAAGCTCTTTTAGAAGTCAGCTGAAACTAGCTAGCTTCTTGCAAACAGGGAATAACTCTAGAACTAACTCAAAAGTTGTTCCAAGATAAATAAAATATGTCACAAGCCTAAAGCACTTTTTCACAAAAAATATTTAATGCTGATTGAGCATTACAGGTTTAGTTTAGATTATTAAAACATATGGTCATAGACCAAACACAAGCATTACAGGTAACAGTATAAAATGTGTTATACACTAACCTTTCCCAACCTGGAATAAATTCCCATTATCCTCAAGCAGAATCAGATCAGGGAAGGCTGGCTTAAACACTCAACATAATCCTATATTTAGGTGCTGCATTTTCACAGTACCAGTTCAGCACTAGATTGATGAAGTCAATAGATCAAGGATGGACTTCAACAGTTAGGTAGCAAACTTCATATCCTAAATGCACAGTAGGAAATCTTGAGGTTTACTGAGAAACTAGACTACAAATTTCAG